ACAATTGGCCGTTTAACAACAGAAATAGCCGCAAACTGCTGAGTGTGCGCTATGAGCAAACATAATCGGCACCCGATCTGATAAGTGATAGGGAAGACTCCATTACCATCATATGCCGGAGAAATCTTACATGTGGACGTTTACTCCACAGATAAGAAAAACTTTTTAGCCTGCATTGACAAATTTTCTAAATTTGCAGTTGTTCAGCCTATGTGACAATGAAAAGTCCTTAAACTCAGAGACCATTAGATCAATGTTGTCAAACAACTTTGACATTGTGTTCGCAAACGCATCGCCCCTACACAGTACATTCAACGGGCAGGTCGTTTTCACGTTTTCACGGCACTTTGGGGGATATAAGTCGCTGTCCCTCGACAACGTTCCGACATTCAAAAAGTTTTGTAAAAGACATCCCAGACACAACAGAACAGCGAGAAATAGCTATAGCTGAACATAATCGCGCTCATCGCGCGGCTCAAGAAAATGCCCAACAAATACTTTGGGAACAATTGGCCGTTTAACAACAGAAATAGCCGCAAACTGCTGAGTGTGCGCTATGAGCAAACATAATCGGCACCCGATCTGATAAGTGATAGGGAAGACTCCATTACCATCATATGCCGGAGAAATTTTACATGTGGACGTTTACTCCACAGATAAGAAAAACTTTTTAGCCTGCATTGACAAATTTTCTAAATTTGCAGTTGTTCAGCCTATTCGTTCACGCACAATCGTCGATATCAAGGCATCACTTTTACAACTGTTCAACTTCTTTCCTAAAACAAAAACGATTTACTGTGACAATGAAAACTCAGAGACCATTAGATCAATGTTGTCAAACAACTTTGTCATTGTGGTCGCAAACGCATCGCCCCTACACAGTACATCCAACGGGCAGGTCGAACGTTTTCACGGCACTTTGGGGGATATAAGTCGCTGTCTGAAAAATGGAAACCACGTCGAATATACTGTCGACAATATCCTTCTTGCAACAATTAAATACAATAGGTCGATTCATTCGGTTACACATAAAAAACCAATAGAAATTATTCACGCTGTCCCTATAGAAGCAGTGCAGATAAAACAAAAAATCACATAAGCACAGAAAATATCGCTAGAACAACAAAATAGGAACAGGGTCCAAAAAACATATAAAGCGGGTGAAAAGGTATCGGCAAAATCCAATATGAGGCTGGGTAATACAATTTTCGCCCTTATTCACTGAAGCGACAGTGAAGGCGGACCTGGGTACGACGGTTCTTATAAAAGGGAGGGTGGCCCATAAGGACAACCTTAAGTAAACTTTGATCTAAACGTTAAAAAAATTTCTATATAAATAAATAAAAAATTTGTTTGTTATAGTCGACGGAGACGTAACAATCTGGACGAGTACAGTTACATGGAACACACGACAAACTTGACATCGTTTAAACCCTACATCCACGATATGAAACAGGTACTGAAAACTGACATTCTACACGTAGGCACCCTAATATCCACTCTGAATGTTCATCATAGGCAAGCACGTAGAATAAACATGATAGGCAGTGCCCTTCAGGTAATTGCAGGAACCCCAGATTTTGATGACTGAGAGCAGATAAAGTTCATACAGGGTCAGTTAATAAATTCAGAAAATAGACAAATCAAGATCGACAACAAATTCCAAACAAGACTTAACGAAGTTTCAAAGGCACTTAATGCAATCCTAAAACCAGATTCGGAAGTTGAGCATTTTTATGCAACAATCTTGGCGAAAAACATAATGATAATCACAAATCTTGAAGACTTAATTCTTGCCGTAACCATTGCTAAAACTAATTTAATCAGCCCTCCTATTCTGGACAGCAATTGTTAAATGAGCAGCTCACAAATATTAGTATAACAGAACTTTTAGAAGTATCCAATATCAAAGTTTTTTAAAAATCCGAATTATTATATTTCTTGATAAAATACCCAAAGCCCAAATTAACCTGTAAGAAAATTGATATTTTTCCCGTAATTAATAATATAATATTATATTTAGAAGGAGGTAATATGGTGGCCGATTGCGGAACAAAGACTTTCGCTGTGCGCGACATCGCTGCCACTGTGAGCACCATTTTCTGCAAAAGATTACAGAAGGCATCGTGTGCCCAACAACTGGTATCAGGAACCGTCGTACAATGCGCCGCACGCCCCGCGCATCTAGAGCCCATAACAACAATCGACGAGGACGTCTTAATTATTAACAGCGCAACAGTTAATGTGGTGAACAGCACTGGGAACAGTCAAACAGTCACAGGAACCTTCCTGGCTACTTACGACGAAGACGTCTCCTGAACGGCACCCGGTATGTGAATCACCGGGGCATCCTAAGGAAAAAACCTGCCGTGTCCACGTCGGCTGTGGGTAACATCACCCTCTTCAGAGAGCATCTGAGCCTTCCATTTCTGCCCGACCTAAGCCTGAAGAACCTCCGTCATATCGGTGGTCTTAGATCAGAAATATCATCAAGATCACTTGGCTGCCTTATCCTCATCGCCTCATCGTAGAAAATTCCATCAAAATCGGTTAAGAAACACAAAAGGTAATATAGAAAACGTGTGGCGGCAGCTAGTTGAAAGCGCAATAATATTTGCTGACCCAGCGTTCTGGGGGAACCAATGACCAGAGTCTTGATCGCGGCAGATGTGTACCAACAATGTTGCCAGCCGCGACGGTCACCCGACACCACACACGAGGCGCTAGCGCTGCACTTTTGAGGACAGCGACGGCAACTCCGCGACAACGACGGCGACTCCGCGACAGCGACGGTGACTGCTCGGCAGCGACGGCGACTCAGGCTTATTGTTGTTGCTTATTGTAACCAAAGTTATATTTCATTAGTCTGAGTTGGGATATGAATAAAGCAAGGCTTATCGCCCCTTTTATATAATTCACGCACTGTTCTAAGTTTACTCAAAAAACTTATAAATGCAGTAATTGGCACCCAGCGTACAAAGCCCACAAGTGGGATAAATTTTAATGGTAAGGTAAAGATAACCTTGTTGCAGACTCTCTCGCTTAGGAGGGTTCGGCAGAATCTGATGCTGCTACAATCTACAGCGAAGAGCCTCTAACTTACACAATGAGACGACAGACAAGCCAGTCAACTGCTTCCGAAACCAAATCATACTGTAGGAAAGCACTATCCCACAGCACAAGACTTATAGAAGAATTTCCCTCGACAACGTTCCGACATTCAAAAAGTTTTGTAAAAGACATCCCAGACACAACAGAACAGCGAGAAATAGCTATAGCTGAACATAATCGCGCTCATCGCGCGGCTCAAGAAAATGCCCAACAAATACTTTGGGAACAATTGGCCGTTTAACAACAGAAATAGCCGCAAACTGCTGAGTGTGCGCTATGAGCAAACATAATCGGCACCCGATCTGATAAGTGATAGGGAAGACTCCATTACCATCATATGCCGGAGAAATTTTACATGTGGACGTTTACTCCACAGATAAGAAAAACTTTTTAGCCTGCATTGACAAATTTTCTAAATTTGCAGTTGTTCAGCCTATTCGTTCACGCACAATCGTCGATATCAAGGCATCACTTTTACAACTGTTCAACTTCTTTCCTAAAACAAAAACGATTTACTGTGACAATGAAAACTCAGAGACCATTAGATCAATGTTGTCAAACAACTTTGTCATTGTGGCCGCAAACGCATCGCCCCTACACAGTACATCCAACGGGCAGGTCGAACGTTTTCACGGCACTTTGGGGGATATAAGTCCCTGTCTGAAAAATGGAAACCACGTCGAAGATACTGTCGACAATATCCTTCTTGCAACAATTAAATACAATAGGTCGATTCATTCGGTTACACATTAAAAACCAATGGAAATTATTCACGCTATCCCTATAGAAGTTGCAGTGCAGATAAAACAAAAAATCACATAAGCACAGAAAATATCGCTAGAACAACAAAATAGGAACAGGGTCCAAAAAACATATAAAGCGGGTGAAAAGGTATCGGTAAAATCCAATATGGGGCTGGGTAATAAACTTTCGCCCTTATTCACAGAAGCGACAGTGAAGGCGGACCTGGGTACGACGGTTCTTATAAAAGGGAGGGTGGTCCATAAGGACAACCTTAAGTAAACTTTGATCTAAACGTTAAAAAAAATATCTATATAAATAAATAAAAAATTTGTTTAGTAAGTTTTAATCAATACATTTTATCTTTACTTTAGGTTAGAATATTTTCTAGCTCTTACAATGGCAACTATGACCTTGACCGAAGCGACATTGAGACTCAACGATTATTCACACGCGGACTACATACCTATAGTCCACGGAGACGTAACAATCTGGGACGAGTACAGTTATATGGGACACACGAAAAACTTGACATCGTTTGAAACCTACATCGACGATATGAAACAGGTACTGAAAACTGACATTTAACACATAGCCACCCTAATAGCCACTCTGAATGTTCATCATAGGCAAGCACGTAGTACAAACATGATAGGCAGTGCCCTTCAAGTAATTGCAGGAACCCCAGATTTTGATGACTGGGAGCAGATAAAGTTCAAACAGGGTCAGTTAATAAATTCAGAAAATAGACAAATCGAGATCAACAACAAATTCCAAACAAGACTTAACGAAGTTTCAAAGGCACTTAATGCAATCTTAAAACCAGATGCGGAAGTTGAGCATTTTTATGCAACAATCTTGGCGAAAAACATAATGATAATCACAAATCTTGAAGACTTAATTCTTTCCGTAACCATTGCTAAAACTAATTTAATCAGCCCTCCTACCCTGGACAGCAATTGTTAAATGAGCAGCTCACAAATATTAGTATAACAGAACTTTTAGAAGTATCCAATATCAAAGTTTTTTAAAAATCCGAATTATTATATTTCTTGATAAAATACCCTAAGCCCAAGTTAACCTGTAAGAAAATTGATATTTTTCCCGTTCAATATAATAATATAATATTATATTTAGAAGGAGGTAATATGGTGGCCGATTGCGGAACAAAGACTTTCGCTGTGCGCGACTTCGCTGCCACTGTGAGCACCATTTTCTGCAAAAGATTACAGAAGGCATCGTGTGCCCAACAACTGGTATCAGGAACCGTCGTACAATGCGCCGCACGCACCGCGCATCTAGAGCCCATAACAACAATCGACGAGGACGTCTTAATTATCAACAGCGCAACAGTTAATGTGGTGAACCGCACTGGGAACAGTCAAACAGTCACAGGAACCTTCCTGGCTACTTACGACGAAGACGTCTCACTGAACGGCACCCGGTATGTGAATCACCGGGGCATCCTAAGGAAAAAACCTGCCGTGTCCACGTCGGCTGTGGGTAACATCACCCTCTTCAGAGAGCATCTGAGCCTTCCATTTCTGCCCGACCTAAGCCTGAAGAACCTCCGTCATATCGGTGGTCTTAGATCAGAAATATCATCAAGATCACTTGGCTGCCTTATCCTCATCGCCTCATCGTAGAAAATTCCATCAAAATCGGTTAAGAAACACAAAAGGTAATATAGAAAACGTGTGGCGGCAGCTAGTTGAAAGCGCAATAATATTTGCTGACCCAGCGTTCTGGGGGAACCAATGACCAGAGTCTTGATCGCGGCAGATGTGTACCAACAATGTTGCCAGCCGCGACGGTCACCCGACACCACACACGAGGCGCTAGCGCTGCACTTTTGAGGACAGCGACGGCAACTCCGCGACAACGACGGCGACTCCGCGACAGCGACGGTGACTGCTCGGCAGCGACGGCGACTCAGGCTTATTGTTGTTGCTTATTGTAACCAAAGTTATATTTCATTAGTCTGAGTTGGGATATGAATAAAGCAAGGCTTATCGCCCCTTTTATATAATTCACGCACTGTTCTAAGTTTACTCAAAAAACTTATAAATGCAGTAATTGGCACCCAGCGTACAAAGCCCACAAGTGGGATAAATTTTAATGGTAAGGTAAAGATAACCTTGTTGCAGACTCTCTCGCTTAGGAGGGTTCGGCAGAATCTGATGCTGCTACAATCTACAGCGAAGAGCCTCTAACTTACACAATGAGACGACAGACAAGCCAGTCAACTGCTTCCGAAACCAAATCATACTGGAGGAAAGCACTATCCCACAGCACAAGACTTATAGAAGAATTTCCCTCGACAACGTTCCGACATTCAAAAAGTTTTGTAAAAGATATCCCAGACACAACAGAACAGCGAGAAATAGCTATAGCTGAACATAATCGCGCTCATCGCGCGGCTCAAGAAAATGCCCAACAAATACTTTGGGAACAATTGGCTGTTTAACAACAGAAATAGCCGCAAACTGCTGAGTGTGCGCTATGAGCAAACATAATCGGCACCCGATCTGATAAGTGATAGGGAAGACTCCATTACCATCATATGCCGGAGAAATCTTACATGTGGACGTTTACTCCACAGATAAGAAAAACTTTTTAGCCTGCATTGACAAATTTTCTAAATTTGCAGTTGTTCAGCCTATGTGACAATGAAAAGTCCTTAAACTCAGAGACCATTAGATCAATGTTGTCAAACAACTTTGACATTGTGTTCGCAAACGCATCGCCCCTACACAGTACATTCAACGGGCAGGTCGTTTTCACGTTTTCACGGCACTTTGGGGGATATAAGTCGCTGTCCCTCGACAACGTTCCGACATTCAAAAAGTTTTGTAAAAGACATCCCAGACACAACAGAACAGCGAGAAAAAGCTATAGCTGAACATAATCGCGCTCATCGCGCGGCTCAAGAAAATGCCCAACAAATACTTTGGGAACAATTGGCCGTTTAACAACAGAAATAGCCGCAAACTGCTGAGTGTGCGCTATGAGCAAAATAATCGGCACCCGATCTGATAAGTGATAGGGAAGACTCCATTACCATCATATGCCGGAGAAATCTTACATGTGGACGTTTACTCCACAGATAAGAAAAACTTTTTAGCCTGCATTGACAAATTTTCTAAATTTGCAGTTGTTCAGCCTATGTGACAATGAAAAGTCCTTAAACTCAGAGACCATTAGATCAATGTTGTCAAACAACTTTGACATTGTGTTCGCAAACGCATCGCCCCTACACAGTACATCCAACGGGCAGGTCGTTTTCACGGCACTTTGGGGGATATAAGTCGCTGTCTGAAAAATGGAAACCACGTCGAATATACTGTCGACAATATCCTTCTTGCAACAATTAAATACAATAGGTCGATTCATTCGGTTACACATAAAAAACCAATAGAAATTATTCACGCTGTCCCTATAGAAGCAGTGCAGATAAAACAAAAAATCACATAAGCACAGAAAATATCGCTAGAACAACAAAATAGGAACAGGGTCCAAAAAACATATAAAGCGGGTGAGAAGGTATCGATAAAATCCAATAAGAGTCTAGGTAATAAACTTTCGCGACAGTGAAGGCGGACCTGGGTACGACAGTTCTTATAAAAGGAAGTGTGCTCCATAAGGACAACCTTAAGTAAACTTTGATCTGAACGTTAGCACCACTTTCTGCAAACGATTACAGAGGGCATCGTGTGCCCGCAACAGTTAATGTGTTGAACAGCACTGGGAACAGTCAAACGAAAACGAACGAAAACGAACACGAAAACACGAACGAAAACGAACACGTCTCCCTCTACGGCACCTGGTATGTGAATCACTGGGGCATCCTAAGGAAAAAACCTGCTGTATCCTCGTCGGCTGTGGTTAACATCACCATCTTCAGGGAGCATCTGAGCCTTCCTTTTCTGCCCGACCTAAGCCTGAAGACGGCAGCGACGGCGACTTGTTGTTGCTTATTGTAACCAAAGTTATATTTCATCAGTCTTAGTTTGGATATGAATTAAGCAAGGCTTATCGCCCCTTTTATATAATTCACGCACTGTTTTAAGTTCACTCAAAAAACTTATATATGCAGTAATTGGCACCCAGCGTACAAAACCTACAAGTGGGATTAATTTTATGTTCATTTAAAAACGCGCAACAATAAAAACGCGTAAGACAATAAAAACTTGCAGCAATAAAGCACAAGCGAAACAAAAAAGAAAAAAAAAACTTAAAACATATTTCTACAAGTTCGAAGAAGAACTACGCGCAACGATCAAAACCCGAAAAATAAAGCCACAAGTGAGCTTTCGAGATTGAAAACAAAAACATTAATATACAAGTAAGAGGTTCTCGTCGGGCGCTCCCTGAACCCTCTTATTCCAACACCAAATGCAACTCGTGTTCGTTTGCTTTAGTAGTAATAAAGATAAATTCCCTTTGACCGCATTATTTGTTGCCGCCTCTACTGAACAGCCACACCAGCCAAAAAAATATTCTCCTCGGTAGGGTTCGAACTCGCTACTGACCGCACTACTTGCCGCCACCTCTACTCAACAGCTAAAAAAAACGAATTAAAATATCAGCACAGTAAACAATATAATCGCAATTGCAATGCTGTTGCTAAAAGCATACGCGCATGAATGTGTGAGTGTACATGTATAAAGAAATTCTTGGAATTTGCGCTTGATTTGCCGCTGATGATGAAATTTTCTACAGTACATCTTATTGAGTTATACAATATTTGCTTATTCTCAAAAAGTCAATTGCATTTAAATTGTGGCTTATATTGGTGGCCAGCATAAATTGGTTTATTTACTTGATTTAAAGCTATGAGGTAGTAGCGGGGAGGTGATGATAACTTTAAAATGAAAGATACTTGATATATATACTATCCTAGAAGCTACATGTCAAGTTTGGTGACTTGTGATGTGAGAATAAATATATTGGGTATAATTTCAGGTAGATGCGTCAGCTCGCTGCTTGAGACATATTATCTAATAGAGTTATTAGTAAAAAATATATAAAAAAATAATAATAATAAGAACACACTTCGTTTAACACACCGTTTAACTTCGAGGCCGTCATAGCAAGGTTGGACTTCACGTAAAGTGACAACCGGCCTATCCATGTGATCGAGCAGGAAATTGGAACGTTTAAGTCTCTGGACTTAAACGCAGTTTAACCGACGTGTTGTTTGTGGTTTACCCTCCGGATTTGCCGACGGTGCTGGCACTAACCCAGGAGGTCGAGGCTAATCACGAGAGATATGCTTTCGCGGCAAGCTTTACTAGGGGGCACGAAGAAAGAAGTCGTCCAGAGCAGCGCCCACAAGGGCGCCAGCAACAGCAGCAGAAGGAAAAAAACAATTTCCCCAAGATGGCCAGAGCAAGAACCCTTGTTTCAAGAGGCAGAACGGCCAGTACATAGAAAGAGCCCAAAATAGAGCTGAGCCCGATAGTCCCCTAGTACCCATGGAAGCCGACTCTTCTTCGTGAAAGTTTAGGCAGCCCACAAACTTACAGAAATCCCATGGCTCAGCTAAGTTTACCGCAAACCAGAGTCAGGATAATAAGCGTCCTGCCGGATCTAACTGCGCGACAGGCCAAAGAAGGCAAAGGGTGGATCACATAGAGCAAGCCAGAGGGCGCGGAATATTACTACTACTACTGAACAAAGCGTAGATTATGAAAATAATATCGCTAATATTTTAGAGGAAGGTGCTTGCTGCCGTTCATTCGGTGGAGAATAGCGTGGACATATATGAAATACTTAATCGACACGGGTGCGGTCAAAAATTACATCAGGCCTCACCAGCTCCTAAAAGGCGTCATCCCTGTCGATTCCCCTTTTGTTGTCCGTTCTATTCATGGGTCAAACAAAATCGCTGAAAAATTTGAGTTGTCCAAGTTTAAGTGCGGCACGTTTTTCTTCCAACTTGATTCCTTATCCACGTTGAATGGAATCATAGGGCTGGACCTGCTAAAGCAGATGGGTGTAGTTTGATGCCTAAAAGAGGGCATGTTAAAATATGGTGCGACTTCGGAGGCGTTGCAGTACTACAAATGTACGAACGTCAATCACACGAAGCACAAAGAAATCGAGGCACCACCTGCGGTAAAAGCAGATTTCCTGCGGGTGCTTCACCGAACAACAAGGCTTTTGCGGACTCTAACGAGGCGCTGCCTTATAACACGGCTGTTGTGGCCTTGATTCGTACGACCGACGAAAATGTGGTTTACTCTAAGCTAGACCCCTATCCCAGGGGTGTGGAAGATTTTGTCGCTTTAGAGGTCAACGACCTCCTCTAAAACGGCATAATCAAAGTCTAAATCTCCGTACAACAATACGTTGTGGGTGGTAGACAAAAAAGGCACAGATGAGTTGGGCAATAGAAATAAACGTCTAGTGATAGACTTTAGGAAGCTCAATCTCAAAACAATTGCCGACAAATACCCAATGCCAAGCATCACCATGATATTGGTTAATCTGGGTAAGGCCAAATACTTCACGGCGCTCGACCTGAAAGCAGGTTTTCACCAGATTACTCTGGCTGAGCAAGATCGTGAAAAAACGGCTTTTTCGATTAACGGTCGAAAATATGAATTTTGTCGAATTCCCTTTGGTTTGAAGAATGCAGCAA